TCTGTGAAACGACACAATCCTGTCTCGGAGCTCTACGGACAATTCCTTCGACCTGCACTGTCAACTGTGGGACCTTATATAGACAGGTGTGTGCCTTTCCAAATCATGTCCAATCAATTTAATTTACCACAGGTGGACTCCAATCAAGTTGTAGAAACACCTCAAGGATGATCAATGGAAACAGGATGCACCTGAGCTCAATTTCGAGTCTCATAGCAAAGGGTCTGAATACTTATGTAAATAAGGTATTTCTGTTGTTTTGCTTTTGAATAAATTTGCAAAGGTTTATATAAACCTGTTTTCGCTTCGTAATTATGGGGTATTGTGTGTAAATTGATGAGGATTTTTATTTATTTAATCAATTTTAGAATAAGGCTGTAACATAACAAAATGTGGAAAAGGTCAAGGGATCTGAATACTTTCCGAATGCACTGTATATGATTTAGCTGATGGCTTTCGGAGTTCAATACAGGATTGTTACATTGGCTAGCTAACTTACTTAGTCCAGCTAGGCTAGCAAGCTAATCGATAATCATCCGTTGTTGTGAAGGGGAAAAACGATGGTATTGCATCACTTCTCAGCTGTCGTTGAAATGGATAACCCATCAGTTCAGCCTGAAAATGCCTCGGATAATATTTTGTCACCGTAAGCATCATTCTTGATAGCCGCAAGCCACTGGCAGCGTCGGGGTAAATCTCTGGTAGGTAGAACGATGAAAGATAACACAATTTGCACGCCTGTTTGTAATTAGCACAGCCAGACACAAACCACCACACAGGCATGATTTTACATTTTAGTCATTTAGCAGACGCTCTTATCCAGAGTGACTTACAGTTAGTGAGTGCATACATTTTCATACTGGCCCCCCGTGGGAAACGAACCTACAACCCTGGCGTTGCAAGTGCCATGCTCTACCAACTGAGCTACAGGGGACAAACGTTAGTGAAAAACAAACGCAAAAAAATAAATAAAAATAAAATAAAAAAGTTCCTAAAGAAGTTCTGAGATTACTGTGTTTTGGTCATTAGAAGTAAACTACGCTACGGGGTGGACTGAATGGTAAACTACACTACGGGGCGGACTGAAGTAAACTACGCTACGGGGTGGACTGAAGTTAACTACGCTACGGGGCGGACTGAATGGTAAACTACGCTACGGGGTGGACTGAATGGTAAACTACGCTACGGGGTGGACTGAATGGTAAACTACGCTACGGGGTGGACTGAATGGTAAACTACGCTACGGGGTGGACTGAATGGTAAACTACGCTACGGGGTGGACTGAAGTAAACTACGCTACGGGGTGGACTGAAGTAAACTACGCTACGGGGTGGACTGAATGGTAAACTACGCTACGGGGTGGACTGAAGTAAACTACGCTACGGGGTGGACTGAATGGTAAACTACGCTACGGGGTGGACTGAAGTAAACTACGCTACGGGGTGGACTGAATGGTAAACTACGCTACGGGGTGGACTGAATGGTAAACTACGCTACGGGGCGGACTGAATGGTAAACTACGCTACGGGGTGGACTGAATGGTAAACTACGCTACGGGGCGGACTGAATGGTAAACTACGCTACGGGGCGGACTGAATGGTAAACTACGCTACGGGGTGGACTGAAGTAAACTACGCTACGGGGCGGACTGAATGGTAAACTACGCTACGGGGCGGACTGAATGGTAAACTACGCTACGGGGTGGACTGAATGGTAAACTACGCTACGGGGTGGACTGAATGGTAAACTACGCTACGGGGCGGACTGAATGGTAAACTACGCTACGGGGTGGACTGAAGTAAACTACACTACGGGGCGGACTGAATGGTAAACTACGCTACGGGGCTGACTGAATGGTAAACTACGCTACGGGGTGGACTGAATGGTAAACTACGCTACGGGACGGACTGAATGGTAAACTACGCTACGGGGTGGACTGAAGTAAACTACGCTACGGGGTGGACTGAATGGTAAACTACGCTACGGGGTGGACTGAATGGTAAACTACGCTACGGGGTGGACTGAATGGTAAACTACGCTACGGGGCGGACTGAATGGTAAACTACGCTACGGGGTGGACTGAATGGTAAACTACGCTACGGGGTGGACTGAAGTAAACTACGCTACGGGGTGGACTGAAGTAAACTACGCTACGGGGCGGACTGAATGGTAAACTACGCTACGGGGTGGACTGAATGGTAAACTACGCTACGGGGTGGACTGAATGGTAAACTACGCTACGGGGTGGACTGAATGGTAAACTACGCTACGGGGTGGACTGAATGGTAAACTACGCTACGGGGCGGACTGAATGGTAAACTACGCTACGGGGTGGACTGAATGGTAAACTACGCTACGGGGTGGACTGAATGGTAAACTACGCTACGGGGTGGACTGAATGGTAAACTACGCTACGGGGCGGACTGAATGGTAAACTACGCTACGGGGTGGACTGAATGGTAAACTACGCTACGGGGTGGACTGAATGGTAAACTACGCTACGGGGTGGACTGAAGTAAACTACGCTACGGGGCGGACTGAATGGTAAACTACGCTACGGGGTGGACTGAATGGTAAACTACGCTACGGGGTGGACTGAATGGTAAACTACGCTACGGGGTGGACTGAATGGTAAACTACGCTACGGGGTGGACTGAATGGTAAACTACGCTACGGGGTGGACTGAATGGTAAACTACGCTACGGGGTGGACTGAATGGTAAACTACGCTACGGGGTGGACTGAATGGTAAACTACGCTACGGGGTGGACTGAATGGTAAACTACGCTATGGGGTGGACTGAATGGTAAACTACGCTACGGGGTGGACTGAATGGTAAACTACGCTACGGGGCGGACTGAATGGTAAACTACGCTACGGGGCGGACTGAATGGTAAACTACGCTACGGGGCGGACTGAAGTAAACTACGCTACGGGGCGGACTGAATGGTAAACTACGCTACGGGGTGGACTGAATGGTAAACTACGCTACGGGGCGGACTGAATGGTAAACTACGCTACGGGGCGGACTGAATGGTAAACTACGCTACGGGGTGGACTGAATAGTAAACTACGCTACGCTACGGGGCGGACTGAATGGTAAACTACGCTACGCTACGGGGCGGACTGAATGGTAAACTACGCTACGGGGTGGACTGAATGGTAAACTACGCTACGGGGTGGACTGAATAGTAAACTACGCTACTACGCTACGGGGCGGACTGAATAGTAAACTACGCTACGGGGCGGACTGAATAGTAAACTACGCTACGGGGCGGACTGAAGTAAACTACGCTACGGGGTGGACTGAATGGTAAACTACGCTACGGGGCGGACTGAATAGTAAACTACGCTACGGGGCGGACTGAATGGTAAACTACGCTACGGGGCGGACTGAATAGTAAACTACGCTACGGGGTGGACTGAATGGTAAACTACGCTACGGGGTGGACTGAAGTAAACTACGCTACGGGGCGGACTGAATGGTAAACTACGCTACGGGGCGGACTGAATAGTAAACTACGCTACGGGGCGGACTGAATGGTAAACTACGCTACGGGGCGGACTGAATAGTAAACTACGCTACGGGGTGGACTGAATAGTAAACTACGCTACTACGCTACGGGGCGGACTGAATACCGGACTTTGTGTTTCACCATGAGCAAAACTTCCCGATTGTACCAGTGAAATGAAAGATGTGCTCGTTCTAGCTTGTGGTTTGGATATTGTAGATGTTTATGACAAAAACATAATGGCATTAATATAGTAATGACTATCTGCCGTGGCAGAGCCAGGTTGACATTTCCCTTTAAGACCAAAAAAGCTAATTTGTTTTCATGAATTTTTTACAATACAGCCAATTTTTTCTTTGCAGCTGGCCTATCTAAGGGAAAATCGCTCAGTTCTGCCTCCAGGACAAGACTCAAGACAATAAACATGAACCTGCTACCTGGTAATGGTAGTAGTAGGGATAGTTGGAGTATTAATGTCAATAAGTGGTGCAACATTCATTTTAGTAGTAATAATAATAATGTTCATGTTATTAACTATTTATTCTATTTTTCAAAAAAATACATTTGAATTTCTGTTGACGCCAAGGAGCAAAAGGATCAGTTCAGAATCAAGAATCCCCCAGTCGCTCTCTCCCTCTCCTCTCTCAAATTCAATATTCTGTAATGGCATGAAGGGTCAATGTTGCCAAAGCCAAGTGATACACATAACACATATGAAAACAACAGCAACAACAATAGTAAATATAATACTAAAGTAGTAATATAATAAAGAAAATAACTAGGTTCTTTTTTCCAATACACACACACTGCCCTCAGACAGGTCCTCACCATACAGACTCCTATACAGAATGGGAATAATAATAATAGGGAGAGAGAGCGAGAGAGAGACAGAGAGAGAGAGAGAGACAGAAAGAGAGAGAAACAGAGAGGCACAGAGAGAGAGAGAGACAGAGAGAGAGAGACAGAGAAGAGAGACAGAGAAGAGAGACAGAGAGAGAGACAGAGAAGAGAGACAGAGAGAGAGACATACAGAGAGAGAGAGAGAGAGAGAGAGACAGAGAGACAGAGAAGAGAGACAGAGAGAGAGAAACAGAGAGGCACAGAGAGAGAGAGAGACAGAGAGAGAGAGACAGAGAAGAGAGACAGAGAGAGAGAGAGACAGAGAAGAGAGACAGAGAGAGAGAGAGAGAGACAGAGAGAGAGAGGCCATGTGTTGTTATGAACCATGATGATGTAGGATGCCTGCAGGCCACTGGCTCCATTTGGTCACAACACAACGACCCAGATCACATCGTCTCCCTCTGTGTGTGTGTGTGTGTGTGTGTGTGTGCAGCACACAGAGAGAAAAGGCTTGAACAGCACTTGTGTTTTTCCTAATGCCATCAATCGACTGACTCTCTCTCAGCCATACAGACTATTTCTAGCAGTATGCTGGACTCCTAACCTTAACCTCAGCACTGAACATACACAGCTCAACACAAATAGTAGGCTACTTAACACACACAGACCACAGACAGCTCCACACAGAGCCCACAGACAGCTCCACACAGAGCCCACAGACAGCAGGGTCTGAGCTCCACACAGAGCCCACAGACAGCTCCACACAGAGCCCACAGACAGCAGGGTCTGAGCTCCACACAGACAGACAGATCACTGAGCTAGAGAGGAGTAATGTTGGGGAGAATTTCTCTCCTCTCTCTCATTCAGTTTCTCTTTCTCTTCCCCTCTGTGTGTCCTGAAAAGAGCAGAGTCCCACAGGAGACGGGAGAGAATCTCTGATTATGTAATACTATGCCCACAGAGAGGGAAGAGGAGAGACAGGAAGGAACGAGAAAGGAAAAGAGAGATGGAGTAAGAAAGGACATAAAGATGAAGAAGCTAAAGAGTCGTACAAAGATGGAGGGAGGAGAAGTAGAGAGAGATAGGAACAGGAAGGTGACAAAGTGGACAGAGAGAGGGCAACAAGAGGATTATGATTGACAAATGGCACTCTGTTCATTTGTGTTTGTTTGGTCGTTATAATCATCTTGCCTCTTAGTACACTAGAGAGTATTCTGCTCTGGAGTGAAAAGTTCAGATAATTTTTCATTATCATATAAACTGGTTACGATATTCTTAATTCCCATGACGACAGACGAATAGATGGTTACGTTGTGATTGGGGTTTAATTAACTGTCTGGCACACGCATGCACACCCTGGTCTGTCTATCACCGTAACTGAGTAACAGGAAACAGAAATACATTTCTCTGAAGTGAAGTGACCCATTCTCTACTCTATTAAAACACACACTGCTCTGTTCTGTACACTAGTATCAGGTTTTCATATGAAACCGATACCGAGACGGACCTTAAAGCCTTGCCGATTCAGCAACACAAGCATTTGTACATAAAAAAACCCCACAGTTAGTCCCTTCTAGAACCTTCTAGACTTGAACCAGTCTAACCAGGTCTTGTATCTTGAAGTCTCCTAGGCTAGTTAGTACTAGCCAACTTCTTTCGCCAATTAACTTCAGCCGGCTGGTGTGCGACCATGGCAACGGATAGCCTATCTCTGGGGATAGTTAGGGACCGGCAATAAATTACACAATGTAAATGAGACAATATTTTCATGTTGCACATCTTTTAGTTGTCTCATTAAATGCTTTTAATATTTATACATGAATTTCTACAATTTAAAGTTGATTTTTGGTTGTTAAGTCACTGAAATGTGGAGCTATTTACACTTTAAAAATATTGTCCCATGTACATTGTGTAATTAACTGATGGTCCCTAACTAGCCCCACAGGGATATCAAATGTCAAACCAACTTGACCTTGGGGAATGTGCAGCTGCACTTCGAATTGATGATTACTTGGGTGCTGTCAGCTGTGGGCAGGATTCAAATAAACCCAACACAAGGAAAACTGTTACAGTACCTTTCATTCCACGACATGCAATTTCTTCCCATCATCTTGCAAATCTCAGGTTTTGGATGAGACTGATACTGACACTTCAGTCAATTTTGACACTAGAATAAACATTTGACTCACATCGATGCCACACGTAGGCCTTTTCAAAAGAAAAAGTTACTAGTTTAGGGGCAGTCGCTCTTTAACAGGTCCAGTATTTGGCATATAGGACGACACCATGCAGGCTGCAACAGAAGACCAGGGTTAACCAGGTGGTCCTCTGTAGCTCAGCTGGTAGAGCACGGCGCTTGTAACGCCAAGGTAGTGGGTTCGATCCCCGGGACCACCCATACACAAAAATGTATGCACGCATGACTGTAAGTCGCTTTGGATAAAAGCGTCTGCTAAATGGCATATTATTATTATTATTATCATTAACCAGCTAAGCCAGGAGGGACCGGCATGGCTACAGGCCATTATAACCTGTCAGTTTAGAAACGTTCAGTCTTCATCATGCAGGTATCAGGGGGGGACGTTTGAATACAGAACGCGTTCGTTACATTGTCACCAGAGATGAGTGAGAGAAGAATGCATTGGGATATAGCTAATTCAGTTCTTATCAGTCTGCATAGGGTATGTACAGTGAGGGAAAAAATAATTTGATCCCCTGCTGATTTTGTACGTTTGCCCACTGACAAAGACATGATCAGTCTATAATTTTAATGGTAGGTTTATTTGAACAGTGAGAGACAGAATAACAACAAAAAAATCCAGAAAAATGCATGTCAAAAATGTTATAAATTGATTTGCATTTTAATGAGGGAAATAAGTATTTGACCCCTCTGCAAAACATGACTTAGTACTTGGTGGCAAAACCCTTGGCGTAGTGTGTTAACAATTGTTTTCTTGGTGACTATGGTCCCAGCTGCCTTGAGATCATTGACAAGATCCTCCCGTGTCTTGGCCATGGTGGAGAGTTTGGAATATGATTGATTGATTGCTTCTGTGGACAGGTGTCTTTTATACAGGTAACAAACTGAGATTAGGAGCACTCCCTTTAAGAGTGTGCTCCTAATCTCAGCTCGTTACCTGCATAAAAGACACCTGGGAGCCAGAAATCTTTCTGATTGAGAGGGGGTTAAATACTTATTTCCCTCATTAAAATGCAAATCAATTTATAACATTTTTGACATGCGTTTTTCTGGATTTTTTTGTTGTTATTCTGTCTCTCACTGTTCAAATAAACCTACCATTAAAATTATAGACTGATCATGTGTTTGTCAGAGGGCAAACGTACAAAATCAGCAGGGGATCAAATACTTTTTTCCCCTCACTGTACCCCTGGAGCATAGTACTACCCTGCTTCCCTCATGTAATTGTTTAACCCACTGCCCTGCTTCCCTGTCATGTCATTGTTTAACCCACTGCCCTGCTTCCCTGTCATGTCATTGTTTAACCCACTGCCCTGCTTCCCTGTCATGTCATTGTTTAACCCACTGCCCTGCTTCCCTCATGTCATTGTTTAACCCACTGCCCTGCTTCCCTGTCATGTCATTGTTTAACCCACTGCCCTGCTTCCCTCATGTCATTGTTTAACCCACTGCCCTGCTTCCCTGTCATGTCATTGTTTAACCCACTGCCCTGCTTCCCTGTCATGTCATTGTTTAACCCACTGCCCTGCTTCCCTCATGTCATTGTTTAACCCACTGCCCTGCTTCCCTGTCATGTCATTGTTTAACCCACTGCCCTGCTTCCCTGTCATGTCATTGTTTAACCCACTGCCCTGCTTCCCTCATGTCATTGTTTAACCCACTGCCCTGCTTCCCTCATGTCATTGTTTAACCCACTGCCCTGCTTCCCTGTCATGTCATTGTTTAACCCACTGCCCTGCTTCCCTCATGTCATTGTTTAACCCACTGCCCTGCTTCCCTGTCATGTCATTGTTTAACCCACTGCCCTGCTTCCCTGTCATGTCATTGTTTAACCCACTGCCCTGCTTCCCTCATGTCATTGTTTAACCCACTGCCCTGCTTCCCTCATGTCATTGTTTAACCCACTGCCCTGCTTCCCTGTCATGTCATTGTTTAACCCACTGCCCTGCTTCCCTCATGTAATTGTTTAACCCACTGCCCTGCTTCCCTCATGTCATTGTTTAACCCACTGCCCTGCTTCTCTTTCATGTCATTGTTTAACCCAATGCCCTGCTTTCCTCATGTCATTGTTTAACCCACTGCCCTGCTTTCCTCTCCCCCTCTATTCCCCCGTTTCCACCTCTGGCAGCATCCTTCATGATATGGAGAGAACACACACTGTTGAGATTCTCTCAGCTCTTCAAAATGTTAAAGAATGTACCGACCATCACGGAGCGCGTGAGAACGCATTCCAATGTCTCGGTCAATACAGTCTACCAGGGATAGAGCCAGACTCGCCTGGGACCAGAAGGGTTAAGAATGTTCCGAATCACCACATCACAGGCAGAAAGTAACATGAATGGACTCTCATACCAGAGAACCAATCATTATCTAGACTAGCAGTTTCCCCTTCCTTCAAGCATTTATTTTGAATCAATAGAAAACACAAGCTATTCTGGCTGACATTATGAATTAATGAAACAGATGTTATGCGTATTCTGGTAACGGGAGCTGATTATTTAATGCCTTTCCGGGGGGGACAATGTTTGTCTATCTGTAGGCCTATTGACAAATCACCCCTCAATAGCGGACTGTAAACGCATTCTCAGCAGTTAAAGAAGATTGTACTGGGCTACAAAAGGAGTCTAACGTTTTAAGCGCAGCTGTGCGATGCGTTTTACGACTTCAAAACAGTAATTCCCCACTGGGAAGACTTCAGTTCAACGACTACATTTGGTTGAGTTGTCAACTAACGTGAATTCAACGTGAACTCAACAAATGTCACAATGTCATTGGATTTAGGTTACAAGTTGGGTGGGAAAAATATGTAATGCCCTCACATTGATGGCTTTTTGCCAATCCAATCTGTTTCCCACGTTGATTAACGGCATCACACACACATATATATATATATATATATGGTTTAAATAACGTGGAAACAACGTTGATTCAACCACTTTCTGCCCAGTGGTTCATCTGTTCTGTCCCACCCTCACTGTAACGCTGCCTGCCCAGGGGAGAGACAATGCAGCCGGGGAGAGAGGGGACCATAGACCGGCGTGACCCGGGGAGTTACACGGGGAGTTACACGGGTAACCAAACCCCCTCCACGTCCCCTTCCCCGGGCATTACGCACCACCACTGCAAAGATACTAAAACACACTGCAAACTCTAAAGACAACATTTTAATCACGGATTTTCTTGGCAATTAATGATTCCCCTGGAATCCTCCTAGAACAAACGACCCAAAGCGCCCATTGAAAGTCCGTTGTGAGTGGGAGATCTTCAGGGTCAGACCGTATCGATTGCACATCATTTATAAGCCTCGCTATGATAAAAGCGCATCCGATTCCGACCCACTATTGTCTGCGTTTTGGTTTACCTCCCCTCCTCCTCACCTCACAGTCGTACAGATCGCTGAGTTGTTCGATGATCCACTCCTCCAGTATCAATCTTTTCCGCAGCTCCTTCCTGTCGTATTTCACCGTCACTTTCCCCTGCTTCCTCTGGACCGGGTCGTCCCGCGGCATGGGGCCGGTCCCAGCGCACCCAACTCCAGCCGGCGGCTGGAAGAACACCCGGCTGGTGGCCGCGGGCAACGGGGCGCTCGTCTCGGTGCTGGCGGCTGACATAGCGTGTGTTTGTGTGTGTTCGAGAGAGAGACGGAGAAGGCAGGCCTACAGTACTGACTGGCTGAGCATGAACAATTTTTAAACACCTGCTATTTAAAGCGCAACGCCTGCAGTGGAGGACAGCCGAGGGGGGCTGGGCGTGCCAGCCGAATTCCCTCAATGGATCTGTAGCCCTTTCCTCTCTGTGAGATGATGTGTTTGGTGCTGGGATGAAATGAAAGCCTGCTCTTTAATGGAGGTGGCACCACAGGTTCAAAAGTTATGTTGCAAAATTAGGACATATTTTCCTGGAGATTTTCCTGATCTCATGACCTGGTCAGGTAAAAAAGTCTTATTCATAGGCGATGACAAAATATAATGATTATAGAATGAAAAGGGAAGCTATGACTCTAGGGCTGGGGATTTTCTTGTCGGTGAATTGGAATTACTCCTGGCCTAAGGTGGATCAAACTCTTTCAAACTACCACAAACCTTGTTAATAATAATAATAATATAATATGCCATTTAGCAGACGCTTTTATCCAAAGCGACTTACAGTCATGTGCGCATACATTTTTACATATGTTGTTACTATTCATTGATATCAAAAGAGCCAGAGACAAAAAATTCAATGGAGAACCTACTGTGTAGTTTAGTGAACTACATTATTAGGGCTGGACAACCTACTGTGTAGTTTAGTGAACTACATTATTAGGGCTGGACAACATACTGTGTAGTTTAGTGAACTACATTATTAGGGCTGGACAACCTACTGTGTAGTTTAGTGAACTACATTATTAGGGCTGGACAACATACTGTGTAGTTTAGGGAACTACTATAGCAGGGCTCTATGCAGTACAGTTAGCAGTTAAAGGACCCGATTAGATACAGTGGCTTGTGAAAGTATTCACCCCCCCTTGGCTTTTTTCCTATTTTGTTGCCTTACAACCTGGAATTAAAATTGATTTTTTGGGGGGTTTGTATCATTTGTTTTACACAACATGCCTACCACTTTGAAGATGCAAAATATTTTTTTTTGTGAAACAAACAAGAAATAAGACAAAAAAACAGAGAACTTGAGCGTGCATAACTATTCACCCCCCCCCCAAAGTCAATACTTTGTAGAGCCACCTTTTGCAGCAATTACAGCTGCAAGTCTCTTGGGGTATGTCTCTATAAGCTTGGCACATCTAGCCACTGGGATTTTTGCCCATTCTTCAAGGCAAAACTGCTCCAGCTCCTTCAAGTTGGATGGGTTCCACTGGTGTACAGCAATCTTTAAGTCATACCACAGATTCTCAATTGGATTGAGGTCTGGGCTTTGACTAGGCCATTCCAAGACATTTAAATGTTTCCCCTTAAACAACTCGAGTGTTGCTTTAGCAGTATGCTTATGGTCATTGTCCTGCTGGAAGGTGAACCTCCGTCCCAGTCTCAAATCTCTGGAAGACTGAAACAGGTTTCCCTCAAGAATTTCCCTGTATTTAGCACCATCCATCATTCCTTCAATTCTGACCAGTTTCCCAGTCCCTGCCGATGAAAAACATAGCCACAGCATGATGCTGCCACCACCATGCTTAACTGTGGGGATGGTGTTCTCGGGGTGATGAGAGGTGTTGGGTTTGCGCCAGACATTTTCCTTGATGGAAAAAAAGCTCAATTTTAGTCTCATCTGACCAGGGTACCTTCTTCCATATGTTTGGGGAGTCTCCCACATGCCCTTTGGCGAACACCAAACGTGTTTGCTTATTTGTTTCTTTAAGCAATGGCTTATACCAGACACTACCACTACTATAACCAGTCACCACCATTACTACTGTAGTCACTACCACTACTATAACTATAACCAGTCACTACTACTACTATAACTATAACCAGTCACTACCACTACTATAACTATAACCAGTCACTACCACTACTATAACTATAACCAGTCACTACCATTACTATAACTATAACCAGTCACTACCATTACTATAACTATAACCAGTCACTACCATTACTACTGTAGTCACCACCACTACTATAACTATAACCAGTCACTACCACTACTATAACTATAACCAGTCACTACCACTACTATAACTATAACCAGTCACTACCACTACTATAACTATAACCAGTCACTACCACTACTATAACTATAACCAGTCACTACCATTACTACTGCAGACACTACCACTACTATAACCAGTCACTACCACTACTATAACTATAACCAGTCACTACCACTACTATAACTATAACCAGTCACTACCACTACTATAACTATAACCAGTCACTACCATTACTACTGCAGACACTACCACTACTATAACTATAACCAGTCACTACCACTACTATAACTATAACCAGTCACTACCACTACTATAACTATAACCAGTCACTACCACTACTATAACTATAACCAGTCACTACCACTACTATAACTATAACCAGTCACTACCATTACTACTGTAGACACTACCACTACTATAACTATAACCAGTCACTACCATTACTATAACTATAACCAGTCACCACCATTACTACTGCAGACACTACCACTACTATAACTATAACCAGTCAATACCACTACTATAACGATAACCAGTCACTACCACTACTATAACTATAACCAGTCACTACCACTACTATAACTATAACCAGTCACTACCATTACTACTGTAGTCACTACCACTACTATAACTATAACCAGTCACTACAACTACTATAACTATAAACAGTCAATACCATTACTATAACTATAACCAGTCACTACCACTACTATAAATATAACCAGTCACTACCACTACTATAACTATAACCAGTCACTACCATTACTACTGTAGTCACTACCACTACCATAACTATAACCAGACACTACCATTACTATAACCAGTCACTGCCATTACTACTGTAGACACTACCACTACTATAACTATAACCAGTCACTACCATTACTATAACTATAACCAGTCACTACCATTACTACTGTAGACACTACCACTACTATAACTATAACCAGTCACTACCATTACTATAACCAGTCACTGCCATTACTACAACTATAACCAGTCACTACCACTACTATAACTATAACCAGTCACTACCATTACTATAACTATAACCAGTCACTACCATTACTACTGTAGACACTACCACTACTATAACTATAACCAGTCACTACCAATACTATAAATATAACCAGTCACTACCACTACTATAACTATAACCAGTCACTACCATTACTACTGTAGACACTACCACTACTATAACCAGTCACTACCACTACTATAACTATAACCAGTCACTACCATTACTACTGTAGACACTACTACTGCTATAACTATAACCAGTCACTACCACTACTATAACTATAACCAGTCACCACCATTACTATAACTATAACCAGTCACTACCATTACTAATGCAGACACTACCACTACTATAACTATAACCAGACACTACCACTACTATAACTATAACCAGTCACTACCATTACTACTGCAGACACTACTAATACTATAACTATAACCAGTCACTACCATTACTACTGCAGACACTACTACTACTATAACTATAACCAGTCACTACCACTACTATAACTATAACCAGTCACTATCACTACTATAACTATAACCAGTCACTACCATTACTAATGCAGACACTACCACTACTATAACTATAACCAGACACTACCATTACTACTGTAGACACTACCACTACTATAACTATAACCAGTCACTATCACTACTATAACTATAACCAGTCACTACCATTACTACTGTAGACACTACCACTACTATAACTATAACCAGACACTACCACTACTATAACCAGTCACTATCACTACTATAACTATAACCAGTTACTACCACTACTATAACTATAACCAGTCACTATCACTACTATAACTATAACCAGTCACTACCATTACTAATGCAGACACTACCACTACTATAACTATAACCAGTCACTACCACTACTATAACTATAACCAGTCACTACCAATACTATAACTATAACCAGTCACTACCACTACTATAACTATAACCAGTCACTACCATTACTACTGTAGACACTACCACTACTATAACTATAACCAGTCACTACCATTACTACTGCAGACACTACCACTACTATAACTATAACCAGACACTATCACTACTATAACTATAACCAGTCACTATCACTACTATAACTATAACCAGTCACTACCACTACTATAACTATAACCAGTCACTATCACTACTATAACTATAACCAGTCACTACCATTACTAATGCAGACACTACCACTACTATAAATATAACCAGTCACTACCATTACTACTGTAGACACTACCACTACTATAACCAGTCACTACCACTACTATAACCAGTCACTGCCATTACTATAACTATAACCAGTCACTACCATTACTACTGTAGACACTACCACTACTATATCTATAACCAGTCACTATCACTACTATAACTATAACCAGTCACTACCATTACTATAACTATAACCAGTCACTACCATTACTACTGTAGACACTACCACTACTATAACTATAACCAGTCACTACCACTACTATAACCAGTCACTGCCACTACTATAACTATAACCAGTCACTACCACTACTATAACTATAACCAGTCACTGCCATTACTATAACTATAACCAGTCACTACCATTACTACTGTAGACACTACCACTACTATAACCAGTCACTACCACTACTATAACTATAACCAGTCACTACCATTACTACTGTAGACACTACTACTACTATAACTATAACCAGTCACTACCACTACTATAACCAGTCACTGCCATTACTAAAACTATAACCAGTCACTACCACTACTATAACTATAACCAGTCACTACCATTACTATAACTATAACCAGTCACTACCATTACTACTGTAGACACTACCACTACTATAACTATAACCAGTCACTACCAATACTATAAATATAACCAGTCACTACCACTACTATAACTATAACCAGTCACTACCATTACTACTGTAGACACTACCACTACTATAA